TGGCGAGACAGGGGAACTGGGGGGGAAAGGGGAGTCCTGCCTCCCATCTCCCCTCCAAGCCTCTTCTCCAGCCCGGGGGGGATCACAGCTGCCGTGTGCTGGAGGGGACCCCCCCACCCCGCTCCCCCTTTTCACAATGCTCTCGGTGTTGCTTCGCCACTGGGGAAACTGAGGCACGGGGGGCGGGGGTGGGGGGGCTAGGCAGCGTCTCCTGCTCCTGAGGGGTCCAACATGGCCCCTGCGGGCCCCCCCCTCCTGCCTGCCTCAGTTTCCCCACCGTGGTGGCCTCCCCAAGTGCAGGCACCTCCAAATTCTCCCCCCAGGACCCTTCGCATCGAGGGCTTCCTCCCCGCCAGCACCCTGCACCTCCGACCCCAAAGGCACCCAAAGGGACTCACCTGCCCCACAGGGACCCAGACCCCAGGGTCCCCAAGACCCCAGCCCCAATGGGACCTCACAGCGTGGGTGCTCCATCCCCGCAGGGCTCATTTTGGGTCCCCTCTGCCTCCCACCATGGTGCCGTGTCCTGGCTGCAGCGGTGAACAGGGCTTGGGGGAGAGGGGATTGGGGGGGGCTCACAGGGCCAAGAACCATTGCAGGAGGGGAAAGCGGGGGGCACAGGCTATGGGGGTCCCCAGGGTTTTGGGCAGGGCTGGAGCCAGCCCCCCCTGCTGCTCCTCTCCGCCTGACCCTCTCCTCGCCTGCCGGGGAGCTGCTGGAGCAGAATATTTTCCAGGTTAGGGGATACGTAACAAATATTTCAGTATAATTATCACTTTCTTGGATTTCACTCCCCTCTCCCCCCTGCCTTCACCCCCTCTCCCTCCTCCAGCCCCACCGGTGAAAGTGGCTCAGAGAAACCTCAGCAGGAAAATAAATCTGCCAGCCCAGACTGAGCCGCTCTTCCTTTCCCACAGCGCAAGCAGGGGGCTCCTGCCCTTCGCCACCCCCCCAGCACCACCCCCCCCGGCCTTTCAGCAGCTTTGGGGGAAGCTGATACCTCTGGACCCCCTGGGCAGAGGGGTTAGGGCAGGGGAGGATCAGCTCAAGACCCCAAGTCTGGCTGCATCATGCCCCCCCTCCCCAGCTTTTGCTCCCTTTGGGGGCTGTTTCTCCTCGCTGGCCCCCCCCCCCACCATGAGCATCATGTGGTGGGGCTGCATCTGCCCATGGCTGGGTTTTGGGCACCCACCCTGGTGTAAGTCAGGCCTCGCAGGGAGTGAAGGGACCTGGGGGGGGGCCCAGCCCCACCATCCCAGCCAGCAGCAGCATCCTGGAGGGTCTAGCCATGGGAACGTGGAGGGGACCCCGCAGGGACGTGTCCATCCCCGCTGCAGGAGGATTTGGATCCCGGATCCCACCTGTGTCCCAACTGTGGGGCTGGGACTATCTGTCGCCCCCCCCCCCCACCCCTGGGCTGGGGGGAAGCCCCTTTCTGCAGGGACCCTCTCTGGGGGTGCAGGGGGTGGTAGCCAGGGCATGGTCCCTCTCCGGGGAGGGCTGGCCGGGTGCCCACCCACAGTTTTCAGCTGCCGGAGGGTGACACGGGAACAATGTCCCCAAAGAACAGCTTCCCGGGGAGCCAGGCTGTCCCCGGGTGACAGCCGGGGGCTTGGGGACATGATGGATGAGCTGCCTCCGGGAGCGGGGACAAAGCCCCAGCTGCCCTGCAGTTAGCGGGGGGCTGGGAGGGGGAATGACCATGGGGACCCCTCGGTGGGGTCACACAGGTCACCAGGCACAGAGCTGCTCCTCGGCCAAGCTCAGAGCGGGTGCCTTGTCCCTTCCGTCACCCCGTGGGCTGGGTGAGCCCTCGCCCCCACGCACCCTCCCGGTCACCCTTGTCCCTTCCCCCGGGCGCCTCCGGAGCCTTCCCCGGCATCAGCCCCCGCCCCCGCTCCTTGCCGCCAGGTAACGAGAGCCAGATGTGGCCCAGATGTGGGTTGCCCTGAGCTGCCTCCAGTGCTCGGGGTCCCCCTGGGATGTGTCACTGCCAAGTGTGGGGGCCATGGCCGTGCCCCCCCTCAACCGCCATGTTGACCCCCTGCCCTGTCCCCAGGCTCCCGGGGGAGAGGGGGCCACATCCAGCCCTGAGAGGCACTTAACCTCCCTGGCTGCGGGTCACCCCACGGGGAAGGGGCAGCTCCGGTGTCCCCCCCCATGCCGGGGGATGCTGCAGGCAGCAGTGCAGAGGAGGGGGAGCTCGACGCCGCCATCCCCTTCCCCAGGCGTCAACATGATGCTGAGGAAGATCGCGGTAGCGGCGGCCTCGAAGCCGGCGGTGGAGATCAAGCAGGACGGGGAGACCTTCTACATCAAGACCTCGACCACCGTCCGGACCACCGAGATCAGTTTCAGGATCGGGGAGGAGTTCGAGGAGCAGACGGTGGACGGGCGGCCCTGCAAGGTGGGGGGGAGCCCTGCCTGCGCCAGGGGTCTGATCCTGACCCCACGCATGAGGAGCTCTCATGCACATGTGCGTGCACATAGGCAGGTGTACACGTGTGTGCATGCACACAGATGCATGTGTGTGCATGCACACAGGTGTTAGTGCATGCACGCACATTTTGCATGAGGGCAGGAGCATTCACTTGTGTGTGTGCGCGCACAGGCATGTGTGCACACTTGTGCATGTGCATGCACACATGCGTGCATGCACACCCACAGGTGTTTGTGCATGCACACACCTATTGCCTGAGGGCAGGAGCGCTCACCAGTGTGTGTGCGCGTGCAGGCACACACATTTTTCATGCACGCACGTGCAAAAGCGTGCATGCACGCCCACGTGCACACGCTTGTTTGCACTCACACAACCACACGCTCTCCCCTGCAAGCAGAGGGCTGGTCCCCCTCTCCCTGCAACTGTCCTGGCTGGGTCACAAAGGGGAACAAATGGCTCTATCCATCTTTTGGTTGATGGATGGTCCTGCCTGGCGGGGGCTGCGTGGGGGCTTCTCGGGGTGTCCCATGTACCTGTCCCCCCCGCAGCATCGCCCTTGTCCCCCCCTCTGCAGAGCTTGGCCAGGTGGGAGAGTGAGAACAAGAACAAGATGGTGTGTGAGCAGCGGCTGCTGAAGGGCGAAGGACCCAAGACGGGCTGGTCCAGGGAGATGACCAACGATGGGGAGCTCATCCTGGTGAGGACCTGGGGAGGGAGGGGGGGGGGCATCGCTACCCCAGTGCATGCTGGGAAACTCGGGGGGGGGGCAAGGGAGAGTGGCCATGGCCATCACAGTGACCCTGCTCCTCCTTGCAGACCATGACAGCCGATGACGTCGTCTGCACCAGGGTCTACGTCCGGGAGTGACACCCCCCATTCCGCTGACCCCCATCCAGCGCCGGTCCCCCAGCCCCATGTCCTGTCCCCCCCAGCCCCAATTACCCACCCTGTGTCCCCTCTGGTCCCCTCCACTCACCCCACAGCCACAGGGAGGGGGTTGCACCTTCCTATGGGGTACATCAGAGCAACCCCTTTTTTGGGGGGGAAGAAAACACAACATTTTGCCCCCCCTCATGGCCTGGGGTCTCTTCGGGGGCAGGAAAATCTCATTTTCTGGCCCTGTCCTGCTGCCGCCCTCGGTGCAGACAAAGCGCACAGTTTTTGGAAAGGTGCCGGGGCCGTGGCTGGAGGGTAATGCAGCCGCCTCCCTGGGCTTTTGGGTTGGTTTTAACTGGTTTTAGTTCAGTTTGATTTTTTCTTTTTGTATCATTTTTTGATGCAGGCCCCTGGCCCTTGCCCTGCCCAGGGGCTGCGCTTGCTCTCCCCCTCCCCAGTATTTATTTGTGAATATTGTATCGCAAAGAAACACCAAACGACCCCAACCCAGTAGCACTGCGGTCCGTGCAGCTCCAGGTCCGAATCCCCCAAGGTCCGACCCCCCACCCCGAGATTGTCCCCACCACCTCCCTCCTCTTTTCAATAAATGTCCTACAACTCCCCCCCCTCCCCAGCGTCCCTGTCCCCTCCCGGCCCCGCTAGCACACACACACCTCCTGCACCGCAGCTGTTGCGCAAGGGGCCGGGGGCAAAGGCGGTGGCCGGGTTGGCACATCATGGCGTGGGAAGCGAGGGGCGGCCGTGGGGCAGCCGTGGGGCAGGGAGGATGGCGTGGGGCTGGGGTGCAGCTCACGCTGGGGGGGGGGGGGGGGGGGACACGCCC